ATGATATTGCTAATGCAGTATCTACGGACTTTGTAAGATTGAGACACGAGTCTCGTGTTAAAGGGTCGGCCGCGCGTGTCAAGACCGTGCCACTGTAGGCCTTGGTCGACGCGATCTATTTCCATCGCTCCCCGGTGCGACTGACACCACCATAGACCATCATCCATTGCCTGTTTGTAAGGCATGCCGGTTCGCCGAAGCGGCGTGAATACCGTTCCAATTCCGTCATAGAACTGCTATTAAAACTATGCAAGTCGCCGCGCGGCTATTTTTGAGTTGGAAGCGTGACGTCCGGTCAGTTAATTCGGGCCGCCGGTGGATATATTTAGCTTAAATATATGTAGGAACGGGTTTCTTTGTCAGCGTGAACCGGTGATGCTATTGTCTAACCGTGTCCCGTTTTAGGCATCGCAGCACGAATAACAGGCGTTGCGACGATGTTAAATGTGTTGAGCCTGTCCGCGGCTCATAGTGAGATTCCGCCCGGTTGGGTTTGAAACCTTTTGCCCCGGACCTGAAAGTTTTAATTTTGTTCCCTGTCGGGTCGCTGAGACGCGACCTCGTTGCCGACGGTCTTTTTATCGGAAAGGGGTGAAATCGGCGTTCTGCGAAGCGTCCTTGGCGATGTTTGCGCTGTATCGTGCTAGTGGTCTTAAAGATAATCGTTGCCCGTGACCTTTGTCAAGAGTGGTCATAGTTGGGGGTGCATTAAGTAAGACATTGCAGTCGATGTCGAATTAGCCCGCGCGACCTTGCCGTCCTGACCTGAAATTGGTGGCCTATGCCTAGGGCAGTGTGATGACAGTTCAGGGTCAAGGCGGCACGACATAGCTCAGGGTCAAGGTGGCATGCCATAGTTCAGGGTCAAAGTGGCATAAGAAGTCTTGAAAAGGCCCAAAGTAATACTTGCAAGTGCTCACGGTCCAGGGACAATCGTCAAGGAGCATTGCAAATGCAAGGTCATTGACGAACCGTGTCTTGTTAGGTCACGAGGTAACCTCAGGTGACCCCATACGACCAGTGGGAAAAGTGTTCACCTGAACCAGCCTTCTCTTCAGCACACGAAAAGTGTCGCAAAGGGGCAAAACGTGCTCTGGCCCACGTATGTTGTCGAGCTGTCGAGACGGTCGCCACAGGTATCGTAAATTATCGCAGTACACGTAGTAGATCACATACCTTTTCGCTGCCCCGTACGTCAATCTCGTACCACCCTACCAGAGCATTTTCAGACATGTTTTGTTCAGCATGGCATGGAAGTGGTGGCTCCAAAGAGTACCTTTCAGCAGCCCCAAAAGATGCCCCACTGCAGGGTGATTGCCTTTTTTGTCATAGTTCGCAGCTCGTCTGTAGTATCCCGCTTCTCGTAGGACCCAGGTCAAAGCACGACACCCTACAGAATTGACGCAGCGTAAAGAGCCATCGCCTGAGAAGGGACGGATGCTGCGTCCATCAGGACAGGCCCGCAGCTTTCCATGTGTTTGACGCTCAAGGGGTCTCTACGGTGCCTCGGGGTCTTAATTTTTTTTGGCGTTGACTCTTTGGTGGTGGCATTGGCAGGATTTGTGTCCTCCCCACCGCGTCGAGCGACGCAACCGGCGAAGCGGACGAAGCCTCAGGAGCGGCCAGCTCTTACCAGCACAGTGTCTGTGCCCTCTGCCTTCGTGTTCAGATGTTCAGTGCCCGGGAATTCCGACGACGTCATCATGACAGCCGTGATGTCACGCGTGACGTCAGCCGTTAAATTGTTTAACACCTACCACATTCCGACGGCTGATAGACGTAATAGCCGGCAGGAACAGGGTTGAAACATCGTTTTCCTTCGTGTATGACGAAATGTGGCACGAGCGGTCGATTTTAGCCGCATTCGTATTCAGCAAAACCCATCATGTCGTCGAAGAGATGGCAAGTGGTCCTGCTTGGTTCCTGCTCGGCCTATTTGGCTTATTTGAATCATTGTTGATTCGAAACAGTCCGTGTCATGCGTGTTTTGTGTAGGAGATAGCATGACATGCTTGCCAGTGTTGTACCTACCCTGTGGAGCATGATCTTTAGATCTGGATAAGAGAAGAAAGGTCTGGATTCTGCAGGTGGGTTGTAAAACTAGTCCCGTGTGACTGAATCCCATCACTGATCCAGTTCCGCCTGACCGTACAACAGGGTTGTCAAGCCAAAAATGACCGATCACCGATCTTCTAGGTAGCAATGGTTATCATACTGGCAATCATTGGAACATACTGGAATTCTACCTTTCAAGGCGGTGGTTATGGTCACGAGCGCCGGGAGCTCGGGGCCTTTCTTGCTGGTACCACACACAATAAAGTGTGTGCGGTACCAAAACACACATGACAATGCTCGATTGTCATCACAGCGTGCCAAGACATTCTGATTGTATGGAAAGTTTTGTGCTGTCTTGCGTTTGCTTTTGAATGAAATTGCAGGGATGAGGTCGAGCTGGTAAAGCGGATCATTTTAAGGTGCCGTGGTCCACATGACAGTGATTATAATTACTATTGGAACGTTTTACTGATTTACTGGGATGTGGAAGTATTTTAAGTCGATGCGAATGATAAAAGTTAAAAACGACGTTATCAATGCAATAACTACGCACAACACGCCTGGAATTTAAGATGTCTCAAAATGAAAATGCCGTACGTATTCAGGGATATTTGCTACACGTGTTCAGGAATGTTTGTTATGCTGGGGTATCTATGGGTTGTGTGTTTTGAGTAATTCAGTTCAACTCGCATCTTTGAAGAGAGCAGTTTTGAGATGAGTGCCTAGTGGAACTTTGACGTGTTCTTACGTCCGCTAATAATTATTGACACGAGTTACAGGCATCGAGAGATAGGCTGGTGTTAAGTATACGTATTTCAAAGCGGGAGCTAACTTAAACTTGCCGCTTTCATGGCTTTTTTGTTCGTTTGCATTCAAAACAATAATTCGTTGATTACCTCTTGTTTACGCAAATGGCTCCACATGGGATATGTCTGGAAGCGCACCGCAACATGTCCGTGTTGCGTTAGGTGTGCCTGCTTGCTTCCCTGGCTGAGAGCTGATCGGCGACGGGCGCCGCTGGAGCGTCGAGAGAGAAGGGCGGCCGCGTCGGCGCAGTGCACGACCGCGCACGTGGCGCCCCCTGCGCGGCGGGGCGGCCGCCAGGCGGCGCGCGCCGCGGCCGCCCCGCCGTCGACACACCCGACGAAAATCGATGCGCCGCTCCGTCTGTCGCTCGCGGACGTCGTGGAGCACCCGGACAAAGCTGAGGGAGCGGGCCGACCGGCGGCGGCCGGTCGGCCGACCGAGCACGTCGGCCGACCCAGCGGCCCGGCACGGCCCGGCTCCGGCCGCCAGGTGCGGTTTTGCGGGCGCGGGCGGCACGATTGAGAATTGAGCGCGGCGACAGCCAGCCGGCCGTATCCACGCGCGGCGGCCATATGTGCGCGCCGGTGGCCGGCCGGTCCGCGTCGCTTCGCTCGCCGCCGCGGCCGTCTGTCGGCGCGCGACGCGCCGTCGCCGGCGGGCCTAGATGGGCCGGGCGCGTCGCGACAGAACGTTCGCGGTGTATGTTGAGCAGCGGGCGCCCGGGCCCGGCGCCGTGCCGCGCTGGCTGTCCGGCCACCGTCGACGGCGCCGACGCGGCCCGGCTGGCGTGACGGACGGGTGGGCTCCCCTGCGGCCGGCCGTCGTCGGCGGCGGCGGCCGCTGATGGCAGGCGGCCAGCCGGCCTCCCCCCGCGCCCCTTCCGGCGTGCCGTGACGTCGGCGGCGGCAGCGGGGGCGGCGGCGTGCCGCGCCCGGGGGAGGGGCGCCCGTCAGGCACGCCGCCATTGGCGCTGCGCTCGGACCGGCGGCGGCGGCGACGCACCGGCGTGCCCGCTGACCCGACGCGGCGGCCGGCAATGGCTGCCGAGCGCCGCACGCCTGCCGGCCGCCGGGAGCTGCACTGAATGGCCGGCGGTGGGATAGCAGGGCCAGGTTATTCTGCAGGGGCTGCTCCCCTAGCCGATGGTGGGGCACGCCATGCCCGGGCTCACGTTGACGCTAGTTACGCCATGTCCAAGCTCACGCCGACGCTGGTTACGCCATGCCCGAGCTCACGCCAACGCTGGTTACGCCATGCCCGAGCTCACGCCGACGCTGGTGAGGCCATGTCCACGCTCACGTCAATGCTGGTGACGTCTTGTCCCAGCGCACGCGTTGCAGACTGTGTCGAGGCTTGTTTGAAGCGTTTTGGTCTAAGAAATAGTTCCAAAACAAGCTCGAACGTGTTTAAGGTGCTTCGACGACACCATACATGTATACTTCAGAGTATGTGCGGACACGGTTGTGGTCCGCCCAGAGTTCTCGTCGTTTCGAACATGGCTATGAATGGGCGTCGATCCGCCGTTCTATTCGGCCAGGCTGTTTCTAAATATGGATTGGCTTCACCTCCGTGGGAGGCTATATCCGTGACCACTTCCACAGATTTAGTTGTTTCGGAAACCTCGCCAATAAGAGCCGACCGCGATAAATGAAAGCCGGTCGTTAAATCTATTTTTGTCCGTGCTGCCCGTTATTTACGCGAACTTTCAGGTTCCGAGCCGAGTATAGATACCTGAACTTCGCAGAACGCGGGGTGTAGCAATTCGGTGGTGGCGACTAAGACCGACCGTGGGTATAGCCATTCATGAATCTTAATCGCGAAGCGAGGTGACGATCCGGGCTCACCGGTTTATCGGTTGCTTTAGAGACTGATTCTTTTGCTCTTTCGGTCGTAAACGGTAACGGACCCGTCGTGTAATTAAACGGAACTCGTACCGACGTTCGAATGGTCATATTTTTGGCGTGTACCCTTCGGCACCGCTACGGACGGCAGGTGTTTTGGGCACGTGTGGTCATCTGGACTTCGACGCCCCCCCCCCCCCTACACAGAAGCAAAATGAAGGTGATCTATGGCGCCCCACCATCGTCTTGGCTCCGCTTGGCTGCTGTCGCTGACGCCTCGTCTCCTTGGGCTTCCAGTCGGTACTGAGCTGCACAATCAAGAAGGATTTTGTGTACCACAAGGTGATGCCGACGTTCCACCACTGGAAGACGGGCGACAAGAAGTTCGGGCTCACCTTCCAGACGGCGGCCGACGCGCGCGCCTTCGACCGAGGAGTGCGCTTGGCTGTGCAGGATCTGCTGGACGGTACGTGGATCTGGATCCGGATCTGGATCTGCCCGCGCGCCATGTGACGCGGCGGGCGGCCGCCGTCTCCACTGGCTCCCGCCGCACGAAAGGGACGAGCGCCCGGGGCGTGCCGTGAGTTCGAGAGCCGGGGCAGGGGAGTCGGTACGGCACAGGAGGCGGAAGTAATGGGGGGGGGGGGGGGGATCGGGAACACGCTGTGCGCGCGCCAGGCGGAAACAGGGGGCGGAGACATTGCAGTACAGGAAGAGGAAGATCGGCGTATGGAAGAAGCGGGAAGCGGAAATGTGAGATGTCGGCGTCCCATGCGGTGTGCGGGAGACGCCGCGCGGGGGGCTCGGGTCGCTCAGAGCGAGGCGTCGCACGCGGCAGTGTTGGAGGTGGCGCTGAGCCCACGCGGAACAGGTGGGGGAGGAGGGGGGCGCAAGTCGCCGGGCGTAACCTCCGGCGGTGCACGCCACTGTGACGAGCGGGTCATCGGGTCACATGCGGTGCGGAGACGAGTGTGATGATTTCACGCGGCGGGCCGCCCCATCCCCGGTCGACTGGACGGGAGTGGGCACCTGCGCGGTGCCTCACGTAGTTACACAACCGCCGAGACCGGGTGGCTTCCCCGCGCACCGTGTCCTCGCGCCCAGGCCGCGGCCGACGCGTCCGTGGGGCCTCTCCACCCGGTGACCGCCTCCCCCGCGCTCGGGCGCCGCCGGGCACACAAGCCCACGCGGCGGCCCGCTCCCGGGGGCGCCGCGGGCACGTGGCCGGCTCGACCCCGTACTTCCGGGCCGCAGGGGCGATCGTACTGTGGTGTGACGCGCGCCGCCCGTCCTGGCGGCGGGCGCGCGCCCGCCCGGCGCCATGTCGGCCGTTACAAAGCCGCTACGCGTCGCCGTTCGCGCGTGAGGTGGTCTGGAGCGGACCGGCGCCCGTCCGCTGCCGCCACACCTACTCTCAGACAGTCGGGGTCGTGCGGTGTGGGGACCTCCGGGGATTTCCTAGGCCTCCGGAGTCGTTCTTGAACACGCGATCGGCGGGAAAGGCGGCCGGTTAGAGCCGGCTGACCGCGGGGCAGATGTGGTAAACAGCTGGGGGTGAGGAGAGGGATGAACGGGATCGTGCGTCTCTCGAGGGATGAGCGGGAGGTGTCTCTCCCGTCCGGACGTCCCTCCCATCCCTGCACTGGCCGCCGCAGGGATGGGAGGGACGTCCGGGAGCCGGACCTATGACCGGCTGCGGCGCGGCACACGTGTAGCGAGCGCACCTGTGACTATGACTCCGCGACTGACATCTGCCGACCGGCCAGCCACCTGTGAGTCACGCAGCGCGCGGGCGGGCGTAGGGGCGGTCACAGGGAGCCGGAGTTAGGCGTAGAGGCGGTCACAGGGAGCGGGGCGGCTGGGTGCAGAGGTGAGCGCAGAGGGGGTTACAGGGAGCGGGGTGGCTGGGTGCAGGGGTGAGCGCAGAGGAGGTCAAAGGGAGCGGGGCGGCTGGGTGCAGAGGCGAGCGCAGAGGAGTCTCAGGGAGCGGGGCGTCTGGGTGCAGAGGTGAGCACAGAGGGGGTTACAGGGAGCGCGGCGGCCGGGTGCAGAGGTGAGCGCAGAAGTCACAGGAGTGAGGGCCACCATCGGGTCTGGTACCGGGAAGGGGGGGGGGGGTCATTTTAAGCGTTCTGTTCGGATTATCGTTGTCGACATATTTTTTTCAACTTAGCAACCATTGGTGTTGCTTTGCCAATGTTTTCGTGTATTAGGGTACACAGGCAAATGGAATATGAAGGCTTGCGTCGATAACGAGATAGCTTTCAAGTGCTGAGTTGCTGCAAGTGTGCGATATCTGCGTTGTCTTGTCCCCGTGATGTGTGGCGTTCCCGCTCGTGACGCTGTCGACTGTCGTTAATATGCTGTTCAACGACATTGGTAACGCCCGGTTTCTCTGCTCTTTCTCCTCTCGCATCCTCCTGAACAATCACATTCGGGTAAGTTGCTCTTTTATAAGTGTGGTCAGACCGTCGTCAGCCGGGCCTTTTGTCTTGCGTTCCCTGTCCCGGCTATGCGGTGTGGTGGGATGTCTTCGCTTGCTCTCTTTTATCTTTCACATGCTTTGCTGTCTGAGGTGTGTTCGAGCTGTGTCGATTCGACGAGTCTGCTGACTTCAGGCGACAGAGCGTGAGGTCTTGCCAGAAACGGCAGTATTGAGCGTCGGTACTTTTTCCCAGTTTCTCATTGTCGTGAAAAGGGCACTGGAAAGGAATGACTGTTATTTTCTGCGCAGTTAGTTTCCTAGTATGATTGCCGGCGGCAAGCACGTTGAATTAAGGAATGGCGTGCTTGTGTGACGTTCCATCATTCCGATCCAGAGGTCCCTGGTATGTTGTCACGAAAGGTAAATCCGGGAGGGGGGGGGGGGGGGGACATCCGCGCCGTGGTCCCCAAGGTGACCAAAGTGGGTGTCATTTCTGAACTTCGGAAAAGCCTGAGTAGCAACTTGTGCGAGGGAATTATGTTTTAAGGCATCCCTTGAAGTAAGAAGAAACGAAATGCGATGGCGCTTTTGTTTTAGAACGCCCCTTGAAGCAAAGGGAGCGAAATCCAATGCTTAAAAATGGGGACAGGTTTATGACCTTCGGCCGGCGCGGGCGGCGTATTTGATCCGCCCGTGGTTGCCATTGCGACTGCTTGCGCTCGGTACGCCACATGCCCCGAGCGTTTGTTGGCCGTCGTGTTTGTCGTTTCAATGCCACTACACTGGGGGTGGGGTGAGACGGCGTTGGTGGACTCCCGTGGAAAGCCTGGGACTGACGGGGTTCGGCACCTCGCCTCATTCCTCTCCACGCCACGGGATCAGTCCCAAATGCGGCCGACGACGTTGCTCCCCCCCCCCCCCCCCTCCTCTCCCGACAGTGTTTTCCGTCGGCCCTGATAGGTGTTGCCGTGCCCCATACCATACCATACCCCGTGCCCCGCGCGGTGGCAGCAGGACGTGGCCGCTGCGGAGAGGGTGTGTGGGGACAGCCTCGGACCGTCGCCTTGACGCCCGAGCGTGACAGCGAGCTGGTGTCCCGTGGCTTCGACCCCAACGTAGCGACTACATCAAACGTGCAAAAAGCAGAGGTCGTGCAGAACCGTCTGTGACGTTGTGGCGTCGAGGTGTTTGGGGCGCACCAGGTGCATTCCTATGGGGTTCCATGACATTGGTGTTTCAGCAAAGCTCTTACCGAAGTCATTGTCACGACATTCCTTCCGCTGCCAATACTTATGTACGATATTAGCGTTTCGCGATAAAACTTTTACCTTCAAACTTACGCCCGATATTATTCACACTGCATAAACTTATAGTCATTGCTTAAACACACATTATTTCTACTACGGAGGCTTTTATGCTATGTTAGTACTACACGACACAACTTTTGCCTGGAAAAAGGTATGCCCGTCATTACTTCTACCGCAGAAAGTTATGATCGTGGTGTTACATCACGTTGCTTCTACTGCCAATGCTTAGCCGCGGAGTACAATGTGCATGGACGCCGAGCAGAGAGGAAGAAAGGCTGGCAGGGAACCCCAGCGTAATACTGTAAGTATATGGTGCCAATACGAAACATTATTTATTCTTCGCCTTGATTGACGTTTAAGTAAAGGCCAGATTTGTTAGCAGAATCTCAACGACGGGTGTATCCTTTTAAATATCAGTTCTGTAGTCCTGCACCAACCCGTATAAAAGTCATGTGTAGTGAAGTGTCTGTCACTCATGTGATGTAGAAATCGTTGCAATAGAAGGCGCGTCGCGTACAAGTAGTCCCTAGAGGTTTTTTCACCAGAAGTAATGTCGCGTAAAACTAATCTCATAGCAATCCTGTCCATAGTTTTTCCGTAGCACTAAGGTTGCGACACCATCCTATAGCGTTCAGCGGGAGACGCTGAAGAGGGGAGGCGAAAAATCTTTGCAATTGCACTCTGTTGTACATTAAACAATTGCCAACGCGCGGTCTCCGTGAGATGTGAAGGCATACGCGGCGTCGGTCCGCCTTGCGTTACCTGACCGCCAAGTGGGGTTACCCGAGCAAGAAGGGACCTGCTGTGAGTCGTGGGTGGATCACTCGTGCCCGGGTCCTCTAGCTCTTGTTCTTCCGTGTATCGCCTTTTCGGGTGTCGGTATTTCGTGGACATTGTCGCGGCGCAGGGTGCGGTGACTGACGAGCGCGAGATTGGCGGATTGCCACAGCATCCCGACGCGTCGACGCATCCCAGGCGACCGCGGAAGCATTCCTGCGCATGCACCAGACCAGAACACCCAGTTGGTTAAGTTCGGAGACGCTGCCGCGTCGCGTATTGCGCATCGCGATCAAGCACGCCGGCTGCAGTCGAAAGTTTCCCCTTGTGGGCGCATTTGCCCGAAGCGGTGGGCGTATCGACGTCACGTGCACCTTTCCGTTCAGAGCACAACTCACGCCAGGCCGGCAAATAGCTACAGAGCGGCGCCGGCGCGTCACTTGGAGGCGCGCCGGCCGGCACGGCGGACCGCGGGGCGCGCCGCCGGCCGCCCACTGCCACCGAGAGCCGAGCGGGGGTCGGGGGGGCGGGGCGGTGGCCGCGCGATCGACCCGGGCCGCCCCCGCGCAGGCTCTGCAGCTCGAGCGGATATAGCCGAATTCGTGACCGCCGGCGGCTGGGCCGCCCGTCGGGGAGGCTTCGGCCGCGGGCCGGCCAGCCGGCGCCCACACGCCACTCGTCCCGCACGCGCGCCGCCCGTGAGCAGCACGGACACGGGCACGGTGTCACGCAGGAGACGGCCCGGCCCGCCCCGCCCCGCCCCGCCCCGGACGGCCGACCGGGGTCGAACGTGGCCACGCCTTCGGGAATCGAACTGAACATCGCTCGTGGGCTGGAACAGCTGGGTAGGAGCGTACACACGACTGCTGTGAGACGCGTGCGGTCTCGTTTTGGAACATATGAACCACGGAGTGGAGCATGGGACCGCAGGAGTAGATCACATGACCCCTCCCTCCTGGGGTGGAATCCGTCCGTGGCCGCGATCACCTTCGGTCCGTCTGCCTTGGCGTGGGACACTGCTGACCGCCTCCGACGATGCAGCGCTGGCGCTGGCTGGTCCTGCTGTGTGTCTGTTGTCTTCTCGTGTCTGGGCTGCCCTGGCTTCGGCTGACGCGCGCAGCTGAGCTGTCGTCACTGCCCCAGGCCTCTCCGACTCGGAATCGTCACCGCTGTACGAATCGCCGACTCCGCCGACGCCACCTCCGCCGCCGGGCCGGCCACCGCCGCGGCCGCCGCCGCACGACCCGGCGCTGCCTTCGCCGCCGCCGCCGCCGCCGCCGCTACCGCTGCCGCTGCCGCACCCCGCAGATATTGGAGACAATGACGTGTTCATGGTGAGTCGCGGGCAGGATGGGCTTCACTGAGCAGTTCGAAGGAGAACATGGCAAGAAAAGCCGGCTGGTGATGTGGAAGTGAGGTCGTTTCGACCATTCGACGGGACAGGCTGGATGTTAGCGTCTTGGATTTCAACGGCCGCGACGCAGCAGCAGTCGGGGTAGTCCCCTGGCATTCAGTGATCTCAGAAGATGCGGCCAAAAGCTCCATCGCCTCTGATTGAGAGGGTGTGTTAGCATTTTGAATAAATGGTTATCTGAAATGCAGTTTTGGAGGGTATCGCTAGGTTAGCGGCAAGAGCGGACGCCAGTTGTTCTCCAGCTACTCACCAGGTAATATTTTGTGCGTGATATCGTGGTGCACGCTGAAGCGGCCAGTTCTTCCTAATCGTTGCGCTAAACAAACGGCTGTTTGCTATGCCCGCCGTGATCTAGCTGACCCAGCTGGAGGCGCGGCCTCGGCTGCTCAGAGCGCGCCTGCAGCGCCGCGAGTAGCGCTGGTGGCGCCGCCTGGCCGCGGTCTGACGCGCGCCCGCCGCCGGCTGTTGCAGACGCTGGAGCTGCCTGTGGACCGGTACGACAGCCGCTCGTCTTCGGACTCGTCCGTGTCGCGCCAGACGGCCGCTTCGCCGCAGTCGGCGCTGCTGCACCGCATGTCGTTCGGCCCCCCGCCGGCGACAGCGGCGCCGGCGGCCGGCGGTGGCGGCGGCGGCTCGGCCGGGCCCCACTCGGACGAGAGCGCCGCCTCTGAGTACCCGTACGTGCAGTTCGCGCGCGACAGGCCCTCCAAGCACGAGTACAGCTACCCGGCCATGGAGGACCTAGTCAAGCAGAAGGAGGCGCTGAAGCGCGGCGCGGGCGAGGTGCTGCACCTGACGCAGCCGCCGCTGCCTAGCAAGGGCGGCAAGCGGCGCGTGGAGCCGCACCGGCCGCTGCCGCGCCGCTGCCGCCACTGCCAGGAGCCGTACGACGAGGCGAGTAACGGCCGAGGCCAGTGCGAGTACGCGCCGGACGCCGTGCGGACGTGTCTGGACGCGGTGACGTGTATGCCGGCCGCGCAGTGCATGCTGTACCACTGCTGCGCCGACGCCGAGGGCGACTTCGGCAGTCGGCCGTGCGCGTGCGCGCCACGCGAAGAGCGCTGCCTGCGCCGCTGGCTGGGCCTGACGCTGCTGGCCGCGCTGCTGCCCTGTCTGTGCTGCTATCCGCCGCTGGCCGGCTGTTACCGCTGCTGCCGGCGGTGTCACGCGTGCGGCGGCAAGCACGGCCCCTCCACGCACCCGTAGTCACGCCACACTCACGCACGCGTCACGCGCGACCACAGTCACGACACACAGACACACACACAGACACACACACACACACACGGCGCCCACCGCGGCCGAGCCGCTGCGAACTCGCAAGCCGAGGGCGTGCAGCGCACACACATTCTACGTATGAACAATGCGATATATGAATAGAGAACGTATATGCGGTGAAGAGCGCAGCGTTTGTTGTTCTGCGCATGCGCCCGCCGCCGCCCGGCCACCGCCGCTGTCACTACTCTTAGAAGGCACGCGTGCGCTGTGTTCGTTATCCAAAGGGATCCCAATGTCTCGAGGGCTCAGGGGATATTGTGACGCTCTTTGGAAGCTCTGTCTTCAGTTCTGTTGATATACGCGCTCGCTGCGCCGCCTGCGCGTGTACATGAATGTGATATATGGGTGCGGCGGGGGCCGGGTCGGCCGCGAGGACGCTGGTTTTGGCGCGCGGCGCTTCTCTGCACGGCGCCCGTGTTAATTACTTGAGATCGGTCTATCCAGGCTCGGAGAGGTGGCTTTATCCGCCACGCGGACCGGCGTCGCCAGCTGTGGGCGGCGGCCGGCGCCAGGGCCGGCACCGGCAAGCTTTACCGATAGCAGTGCTGTTGAGATTGCGGAAGCGTTTCCAGAGTTGCCGACTTTGTGCGCGTTTGGCCCGCCAGGTGACGCCTCATCTCCATTGGCGCGCGCGGCCGCTAGGCGCGGTTTTATAGTTGTGACGTGTCGGTGTTGGAGTTGCGCCCACGCGAGCGCACACCCACACAACGTTGTAATGTACTCCTCATCTTTGTGAACTGGACTCATCGCTACTGTCATTTGTTCCTAAATACATGCCGCTTAATACCCGAGCTGGACTGTGTGCTCAAGTTCTCGGAGGCTGGGCTGGCACCAGCACCAGGCGACAGTGCTCGGCGATGTACGTCGCTGTGGGGAAATCAAATATTCCAACCAGCGTTGCCAGAATCAGAGGTTGCCGGAGACTCGGTATGTATTTTTAGATCCCCACCACAAAGACATTCGAGCAGTGCTGCTACACAGAACTCTGAAGGTGCTCTGCGAAGTTGCATGATACTAGCTCCGTACTGAGAGAAGGCGTCCTGCCACTCACAGAAATAGTCACACGATGGCATGCCTCCCAGAGAGCAATCTTCCCCTTTCAATGAAAGGCAATGCAGATACCCCAACCAGGTCAAAACACAGCTGTGGTTGCGTCAGCTGCATGGGCACGGTAGTCCAAGCAGCTCCCGGGCTATTCCAGTCAGACGTCGAAGAGGCGTCTACTTGCCCACCTATTCCCGGGGCGACATGACGTCACGCGTCACTGCGTCTCCCCCTCTGGCGCAGCTGAACCCTCGCCCAGCCGATCCGTCCGCACCGTCAGCCTCATCTCGGCCGTCGGACCCGCCCGCTTCCTGCATCGACCAACGCGCCTAAGCGCCGCCCTCAGCACCTCCAGCTCCGGCGGCAGCACCCGCAGGAAGGCGGCCACAGCAGCGCGGCGCACGGCCGGCGCGCCCGCCCAGGCGGCGTAGCCACCCTCCCGGGCGTAGCGCGCCAGCAGGGCCGCCCACGCGGCTCCAGCAGAGCGCCGCCGCGCGCGCCAAGAACGCCGCGTTCCGCTCGTCGCGGTCCAGCCGCAGCCGCGACAGCAGCGCCACGTAGCGGCGCGCCGTGACGACGAAGTGGGCGCGCAGGGAGCGCCACAGACGCTCCGACGAGTTGACGCGTGGGTCCCAGTGCAGAGGCGTCATGCGCACGGTGGCCAAGTAGATGAGGCGAGCGCGCAGGTACTCGCCCGGCCGGCGCAGGCGCACCGTGCGGAAGGTGAAGCGCATGTCCACGCCGTCGTAGGCTGCCGTGTCCGGACTGACCTCGAGTGTGCCCGTGTGGAACACGCTGCCGACGAATGCCACCTCGGGGCCCGGGTCGGTGAACAGGTTAGTGCGCATCTTGTCTGGGTTCATGCGGCAGCTGAACTGCTCCACGCCGGCCTGCGCCATCTGGTGGAAGCACAGAGCCGCACGGCGCCGCTCGGTCAGCAGCAGGATGTCATCCACGGAACGCAGCAGCAGCAGCGCCGCCTGCGGCTCCGGCGGAAAGCACCAGTTCGCGGCGCGACGCAGCATGGCGCCGTAGTACAGATCGCAGAGCGCCGACGACAGCGGCCCGCCTTGCGGGATGCCACACGTGAAGAGGAAAGCCCGCCGCCCGTACAGCACGACCTGACCGGTGACCAGCCGGTCGAGCGCGGCCGCCACGTCTGCGGTTCTCACCGGCGTGCGAGGCCCGGCCGCGCTCGCGCCCCAGAGGGCGTAGCCGCCGCGCGGCCGGCGGCACAGCACCACAGTAGCCGGCAGCTCGGCCAGCCGTTCGCGCACCACGCGCAGCAGCAGTTGGTGCTGCACAGAGCCGTACGCGTCGCGCACATCCACGCGCACGAACCAGAGCGGCGACGGCATGCGGCGGCGGGAGGCAGCGAACGCGCTCCAGCGCTCGTGCAGCAGGCGGCGGTCGGCCACCGACTCCGGCGGCTGCAGCGCCGGATGGCGCAGCACGGCGCGCAGCTGCGCCCAGCGGTCGAGCGCGGCGGCTGTCGCCGGCAGCCGCACGATTGGCCGCAGCGCGCCCGACGGCTTCGGCAGGAAGCGCAGGCGGCCGGCGGGGGACGCCGCCGCCGCCGCCGCCTCGTGCGCCGGCACCGGCCGCAGCGCACCGCCGGCGACCAGCCGCGCCAGCTCCGCCTCGGCGGCGCGCTGCCACGCCGCCTTCGGGAAGAAACCCAGCTGCAGGCGCGGCCGCAGCAGCTCGGTCACGTAGAAGTAGGCGCGCAGTGCGTCCAACACGAGACAGCGCAGCGTCCAGACGGCGGCGCGCGCCAGAAAGCTCACGGCCGTGTCCGCCGGCTCGCTCCGCAGCCAGGCGCGCCCGCGCACGCGCAGTCCGCGCGTCACGTCGCCCACGCACAGCACGTCATGCCGGCCCAGCGAGAGCAGGTGGCCGATGGCGGCGTCAAGCCGGCGCGGGCCGAGCAGGTCGGCTGGCACGAGGCGGCGCAGCAGCGACGAGAGCGCCGCCGCCAGCCGGCCGGGCGGCACGGGCTCGGCGCCGGCGCCGCAGCGCCGCCGCAGCAGCGCCGCCGGTCGGCAGCGGCGCCGGCGCGCCACCAGCTCGGCCAGCAGCAGGGACAGGCGCCGCTGGCTAGCCAGCGACGGCGGCTCCGACACCGCGCCGCGCACGTCGACGCTGGTCTCCAGCACCTGGCGCAGCAGTAGCTTGATGCGCGCGCAGTTCGCCTGGCCGCCCGCGTGCAGAGGGTGCGACGGAGGGAAGTGGTGGCGGGACTGGCGCGAGTGCAGGATGTGGGAGAATGGGATCTCTATGAATGGGGTGGCGGTGGTTACGCGGCTGGCCGTCTCTTGACGAGGTGGTCGCTTTCTCTTGCTGCGTCGCGTTTTGTGTTGTTTTGAATGGTCCATTTTGCACTGACTGCTGCTGACTGTGACTTACTGTCTCCATATGCTGATGGGGGCCAAAACACCCTGTGGTTTTGAATCCTGGGCAGCTACTTGATGTCCCGAATCAGATAAGTATCCAGCCCAGCAGCAGCAGATCAGATTTTCTGGAGGTGCAAACACAATTTCAGGGATGGGGATGGGCTTAGACAATGGGCCCCACGATGCTGGTGAGGCCGCACCACCAACAAATGCACAAGATGTGAGAAACACTTGAAGAACATTGAGCAATCTGTGTGTGAACAAGCTAATTGGAGTCTTGCATACAAGGGCATAAAAAGTCTGAGAGGGTGATGAAGTTGATGAAGTCCAACACACTTCCCAGAAAACAGAAATCACCAGATTTGGCTTAATTATCTTGAAGTGTGCCCTTCTTTATTAGTTTGTTTTTGCCCTATCCAGCTGACAAAAAGGTCAGGCAATTCTGGCTCATCAAAGCTGGAGAAGCTGAATACAAAACAACCCTATGAAAATATGATTTGAGTTTCCACGCCATGCTTAGTTGTTTTATGAGGTGATCTGGGTGTGGTCACCAAGTTGTTTCACATAATTTACATCTAATCACATGATAGGTTCTGCCAAACCATGAACAGACAATGGGTTTCTGTTTGACTAAGCTTTTGGAATGGGTCCCTCTTAATGCATGCCTCTCATCTATGAATCATGGTAATACAAAGAACCATTATGCATTGATTTCTGCAGACAATGTCATGTTCATAGCTATTGAAGCATCAACACTTAAGTACCAACAAGTAATTGAGCTATAGATATGAATATATATATATATATATATATATATATATATTTATATATACATAAATATATAAGTAGATATATATAAACCTATGGCATGTAGTGTGGGTTTAAAGGCAGATCAACAACTGCCTTTGACCAAGGATTAGTGTAAACAATGAAGCCAAGCAGTATCAACTTCTCAGCTGGAACCTAATACTAGCATGCACTGCCAGGTGCATCTGTGGGAGACCTCTAATGATCAGCCGCAATATACGGAATTGCAAGATATTCCCTGCATGCAGCAGCTCATGGGTGCTGAAGAGATAAGGACCTGCCATTTTTAATTTTTCCTGGTAATTGCCTACACAAGTTGCTTGAAACCATGCCTAGAAAAACCACTGCACAGTGTATTGGATACCAAAAATATTGTGTGCATGCCAAAGACATGCACACTCACACTCATTAAGATAATTTTAAGTTCTGTTGAAGCATCACTCTCATTTCATACTCTGTGTATGTTATACTGGCAGTGAACATAATGGATAGACTACCAGTCAACCATAAATGCCATCAGTTGCGATAGTGTTGGCGATAGACGGGCATAAGCACCTTTAGATGCCTCTATAGCCAGTAATACGATGCATGAGCCACATGCAATCAATCATCAGTTTTATGCGGTTCTTGGAGAGACCTCGTGCGGTGACAGGTGATTTCCTCTCAGCAATTCCTTATGAGCTACTCGTAGGATTTCCCCACGGTTCTATAATACTTCGAAGAACCGTGTGACAGCCTTGCGAGCTTTCCTGCCATTCCCCTTGCAAGCCCCTGAACGATTGCAAACGCCCCATTACTACCGTGTAGACTTTTGGCAACATAAACGTCGTGACGCAAAGGGGGTGATTTCATGGCTGCCTTCCAGTATACTCTAAGAGAGTGCAGTGCCTCCGACAACCTTAAATTGCTATGAACCTTTTTTATTAAAAAACACCATTATATGCAGTTCAGCGTCTGGATGAAAATGTTTGAAAGTTAGGTTTTAAGATAACACGTAAACACGAGTACTAAGGCTGCCTAATGACAGCAGGCTGGTATCAAGTTTAGTTTAAAAAATATAAACTACCCCTGCATCTGGGTGTGTTTTTTGCGTCAGAGCTTCCATATTGCAATTCAGTCACATTGCAAGATTTTCTACGCAATGATTCGTCGCAGCCGCGTTGTGAACGTAGATTGTTCATTTCCGGCTGAGGAGCCGTCGTGTGACAGTTGGGAGAGGAGGCTCGGTGGTAGTGATTTTAATCGATTAGGGACTTGGATACCGTAGCGCGTAATTGACCGTTGTGACCTCTTCGGTTGTCATTCATACACTTGGTGGATAGGTAGAAACTGCATGGTAAGCTTCATGCGTAGTCCTGCTTTCCGCTCTCTGTGTGTTGCTAAAATGTGCTATCATCACATCGACACTTGCATGAGTACTACCGTTCGACGACGGAAATGTGATATTATTCCGTGTCGCGGTTAATCTGTTCTTTCTTGGATGATGGGTTTGTGTTGTGGCATTGTAAGAAGTGTGGGAGCTGTTCCAAGTATTGGAACAACTTCCTCATCTTCATTGCAGTTTGCTGAGATGTGGTGATAGGTCCCTTGCGAGGTTATCACATTTTGCTGTGAAATTATACGAATATTTTGAGGCATTTATGCAGCATGGAACAGCTCACTTTAGTGTAAGGAAGAGAGCCCAGCACTAAAACATGTAAGTGGGCGTGGCATTCTAAATGGCACGTGTAAAGAAAATTGGTGTTGTTTGATGGTGGATATTGGCTCTTGTCTCCAGTTATCAAATTTTCTGGCCTTCTAGTAGCAGGGGAATTGTAGGTTTGATTCAGTGTCTGAATGGTAATGCCAATAGTATCCACAAGGTCTGAAATGAACATATCAAAAGGTAACTGTCTGACACCTGTGGGTGTATGACCGCTACTCTAACTTGTAGTGCAGCTGGTGATGACTAGCAAGTTTGCTGTATAATGTGGCAGGGTAAGAGGATTTTGGCCAAGCACAGGTTGTTTAAGTGCTTGCCTTAAAGCTTTAAAATGCATGACAATATAGCCTGCAGAAATTTTTGTTTAATGCTTATAATATTTCTTACTTTATGTCTTATTTTGGGTATGAATATTATGTGAAACCAGGGATATACATCACATAATTTAAGCTATGCCCTGTTGAGACACTTCCCTTTTTCATAATAGTCCATAACATTATGTCAGCAGTAGCCACACAATTGTGTCTCAGTGTTCTCAATCAAATTTGACTATTCGCATCAGAATAATCAGTTTGACCGGCCATGGGCTATTTCCTAGCCATGTTTTAAGAGTAGGTTTCTGATGCTGATTCATTGGGTCCATAATGTTGACATGTGATCTTAAACTATTGCAGTGTGCACCACTATAACAGTTGCATGCCTCTGAGTGTTATGCAGTCGTATGTTTTTGGTAGTCCTTGGTCAGATATATTTCACTGCTGAATATGTGAAATTCATGTTTGATATGACTTTGATCCACTGTCTCTAATTTCAGCAACTGGCCCAACTTATCAGCCCTGCAGTAATTCCTCTCACATGTATTTTTTATTTTCCAGACTCGTCAGAAAAGATCCTCAGTTGCATGGGACTGGTGAATCACAAGATATTTGGCATTGTGTGATCAACACAACAAGCATTGTGAAGGGAGACTGCACAGACTCCATTCACAATGACTGTCAACCAGTCCTCCTTCACTTACTACCAATCATCAGTAAGTTCTTCCTGTAATAGCTGTTTAGAAAAAGTTAATCTTGATGGTGCAAGGTGTGAGTAGGTCTGCTGGATGTGTTTTCAATTGCAAACCAGTTCACCTCTTGTCTAGAGTTCATTAAGTATAGCAGGCTCAGTCATGTCTTATTATTTGTTTCTCCATGGCATATCTGTGAATTGTGTGCACATTCCTGCCACATTTGCAGTGCTCAATTGCCTCACTTGCCCCCTGATAATACAGTCAGTTACCTGTTTGTGCAGTATTGTGGCAGCACTTGCCCCCACCCCCCCACACACACCTGGTGTGACTCTCTTGCCCTGGCAGGAACCGCACAGGGCATCCCAGATGCTGGACCAGCTGCGCGAGATCACCGGCGTGCAGGACGAGGCGGTGTTGTCGCAGGCGCTCGACGCCAGCCGCGTCGCTGCCACCGGCCAGTACGACGTGGCGCGCGCCGCCACGCTGCTGGTGGAGAACGGGCAGCCGGCCGAGCAGCCCGAGCCGGCCGCGCCGGCGCAGGTGCCCGACGTTGCCGAGGTGAGGCTGGCGAGGGGAGGGACGGGGGAGGGCGTATGCTATGGTTCAGAGGGGAGGAGATGCATCATAGTATAATCTAATGCCTCCCTGCAGCTGTGTGCCGCCGAGACGACGTCGAGGAGCCACGTGACCGCGTCGCTCTGTGCTGCCCCATTCTCTGTTGAAGCGAACGTGTCCCCTGTTCCTTGTGGTGGATGCCGTTGTTGTGACCACGTCTCTTGTGATCTCCGTGGCTGCGTCTCCCTGACCGTCGTGACCGCGTCTCTTGTTATCTCCGTGGCTGCGTCTCCCTGATGGTGTCGCCGGCCGTTCGGCCGCTGCCGCAGCGTCCCGTCGAGCGGAAGGTGCGGTTCCGCTCCTCCGACGCCGGCGACACGGACCTGCGGCGCGCGATCGAGCTCAGCCTGATGGAGCGGCAGGCGTCCGGCAGCGTGGCGGCTAGCGGCATCTCGCGCGAGGAGCAGGAGATCGCCAAGTAAGCCGAGCTCGCGGGGACCCCGGGACCCAAGGGACCCCGCTGGGATGGCGGGAAGGGTGGCAGTGGCGTCCCTCTTGTGTGTGCGCGTGCAGTTACGAGGGAGGTGGCTGACCAGCCAGCGCCACGCCACGACACGGTGGGGATGTTTGGTGACCGTTTGGCACGTTGGGTTGGTGAGCGTTCACTCTTGGCTACTGAAGGGGTAGCAGACAGGAGGCTCCTGCTTACGGGAGAGGATGTGGCGCTCCCTTATGTCCCGTTTTGGACTACGCTAGTGGGGAACCATGTCAATTTTTGTGACGGAGATGGCACAAAGCTATGCTTTTCAGTGCCGTCGCCAAATTAGCTACGAACACGATAACTTTTTACGTAATGATGGTGTCATGTTTTTTTTGTATTCATTTACGTTATTAAAATACAAGGTTCGTGTTCTATTTAGGATGCTGCTCAAATTGATGGGGTTCTTTTGCTTTATCCAGATGCGAAAATTGTGGCGACCTGACAGTAGACCGTTGTAGATATAGTGAGAAATTAACACCGACTTGATTCCAGATAATTGCGCTTTCCAAGGCTGACAGAATGTGTCGGAATGTGGTGACAGAATGTTCGTTTGCCCAGCAACGGGCAAACGCAGGTGATCGCCCTCTCATGTGCTGTACTGACGGCGCGCATGGCCGGCAGGGTCCTGGAGGCCAGTATAGCCGACCAGAACGCCGGCTCGAAACGGAAGCGGGGCGCCCCCTGGGTGGACTCGATCAACCCCCATGACTGGAGGAGGTGAGTGCTTGGACGCTGCGAGAGAGTGACGCATTGCCGTCGGTGAGGCTGGTGTTGCCTCAAGACAGGCTGCTCTTTTTGCTCGCGCAGAGAGATCGTTCCCGATCGTACCGTTTTAGCCCACACGCCTGAGCGACTTGTACATGTCGTCACTTACCAGCGTGTTCGCTGGAGTTCATCTGTCGCTGGCCGTGAGGAGTGTATGGGCGGCAGCTGGTCGGGCGTCTGTGCAGCTGACGCCGGGTCGCCGCGTCCGCCGGTCGGTCGCCGCTCGCTCTGACCGCCGCCCCGTCGGCCGCTCCAGAGAGGGCAACTGGCCGGTGGGGCTCAAGAACGTGGGCAACACGTGCTGGTTCAGCGCCGTCGTGCAGTCGCTGTTCCACCTGCCGGCCTTCCGCGGCCTGGTGCTGCGCTACCGGCCGGTGGAGCGAGAGCGGACTTCGCCGGAGGTCAGTCCCCGCGGCGGCCGCCGGTGGCGCCAGGCGCCACCCCCGCCTCGGCTGCCGCACGGGGCCCTGCCTGTGTGGAGTACGTTATTAACATGACTGTGGCAGTCGTCATAGTGGATTTGGTCCCGCATCGAACCCCGGCAGCCTGTGCCGCCTGCGCCAGAATCGACCTTGATCCCCTGTCGTGTTCTTTGCTGTGTGGGGTGGCGTATTGCCGAAGTGGTCGTGTGCGTCTCGCCAGGCTTTGCCGTTGCTTATTGTCGTGGCCGAGCTTTCGCGCTTGCGTGGCGTCCAGTCGTCCGCAGCTGGATAATGCGGCGGCTCTGGCGTGCTGCGCCGACGCAGGAGCAGCGCACAGCCCAGTTCATGCTGGAGCTGCGGCGGCTGTTCGCGCTGCTGGTGGCCTCTGAGAAACGCCACGTCGACCCGAGGGCCGCCGTGGATCTGCTGAAGAAGGTGCTGGACGGCGGTGCGACCGACTCTCAGCAGGACATCTCAGAGTTTACGCACAAGGTAGCCGCATGAGCAGTCGTGTTCGGGACAATGGCTTTGGTTAGGTTTTGCTGATTATCTTGTTGGTGTCGTAGGAATAACTAGGTATTTAAGTGCACAACATGAATGATAATTGGAGCTACGTCATCTGTGCAATCTGCTGGTAAATCTGTGCGCATGCCGCCGCATGAATCGCTTGGAAGACGTTGCATTTGCAATGAGCTATGCATTGACATGCTAAGGGTGCGTTGCTAGCCAACTGAAGGTATGCAGAGTTGAAAAAATCCGGACAACTACCTGATCTCGACCAAACACTGGCCGGGCATAATGACTGCGCAGTCACCAAATGAAGTCATGTAACGTAATGCTGTTACATATGAACAATACTTCAGAAATGTGACCCGAAGAACTCGCAATATCACGTTTACCACTTATATTGCCGATGTACAATGTTCAGATTGAAGTCTGGTTATCGACGAATGAATAATATTGTGGGCTCCGAATTTCTCTTACGGTCTCTGCAATGCTGCAATTGCAGCATTTTTATGCCTTATATGATATGATATACCATATATTTATATAAATATAGATAGATAGATAGGTAGATGGATGTGATGTACCATATATATATATATATATATATATATATATATATATATATATATATATACAGACAGATAGATAAATAGATAGACAGATATATGATTATAATAGTGATACGATTATGATAATAAAAGCTAATGTAAATAGATATAACACTTGTTAAGCATCAAATTCAAACAAGAGCCTACAGACCTGTTCAGAAACCAACTTTTAATACGATGTGTGCCAAACAACAGCTGGCGAATACACCGAGCGGATGTTATTTCAACATTTGCAAATCATTTTTTGTAGTTCTCGAAAGCATCCAAGAGATATCAGCACCGTTCGCACTTAAGTGGAGAATTCCGTCGGAGATTTGGCACCCAGTGCGGACGAGGGGGTTGGATGTACGTGCTCTGAAGAGGGGGCTTTGGGTCCACGCACCCTTGAGAGGGGAGTTGGGTCCACGCTCCTGGCCGACGAGACGGGTAACCGAGCGCCTCTTCAAAGGGCAGTCGAATGATGACGCATGCGGGCAAGCTGTCCTACAGAAGTGACATCTCCTGACTGAGAAACAGACAGTTGAATGCAAGGGAGGAGTTAGCGACAGTAGTAACGCACCCTTAGCACACGTAATGTCAATGTCGGAGGGACATGCCTGGCGACGTGGCGAGCTTACCCGGTTCTGTGCCGCGGTCGCCAGCTGCTGGAGTGGCTCGAGGAGGCCTTCAAGTACGCCGACACGGACGCGGAGAGCGGCCGGGGCGACCGCAGGTCCCGCAACCCCATGATCAGCCTGTTCTACGGCCAGCACAAGACGGAGGGCGTCCGGGACGGTGGGTCGCCGGCGGGGGATGCAGGCTCGCGAGGCACGGCCGGCGCCGGCGGCGGCGGCGCCCGGCTGTGGCAGGCGGGCTGTGCTGGCGGTGTGGTGGCCGCCCCCGCGTGCCGGGCCGGGTGTGCGTGTGAAGCGATGTGCTGGTCGGAGTGCCGCGACTGCCGTACGTTGTTGAGCGGCGGCGGCTGCGGGCCCGACGGGACGGCGTAGCCCGCCGCCCCTTGCCGGCTCATGTTTCTCCGTGCTGTAGTTACCGCAGAGACGCGGGTCAATTTTGGGACTCGCTGATTGTGACGTTGTGTGGGACGGAGTTCTTTTGACAAACATCGTTTGCCGAATGATGGAAGCTGACCTCGTTTTCGGAGGCGAGTGGAAGGGAAATGACACCGTTGTCTGGACCCGGCCTTTGCGCCTCTCCCGAGCGGCGGTGCGTCTCGCTAACGGCCGCCGCCGCCGCCGCCCGCCAGGTCTGCCGTACACTCAGACGGAGACGTTCGGCCAGTTCCCGCTGGCCGTGGTGCCCGGCCAGGACCTGCACCAGGCGCTGGAGGCGTCGGTGGCGGCCGGGCCGGACGCGGCCGCCAGCGACGCCGCGGCGCCCGGACCGCACCAGTGGTTCACCGTGCTGCCGCCCGTGCTGCTACTCGAGCTCAGCAGGTTCCACGTGAGGCGCGGCGGGGGGAGGGGAGGGGAGGGGAGTGTGACGTGGCGAGTTGGGGGGGGGGGGGGGGGGATGGGCGTGTTTCGGTGTCGTGATCTATCGCGGCGCGACAGATAGGCGGTGGTCTATCGCTGGGGTTGTTTAGAGGTGATGTGGCGTGCATCTGTTTCGCTGGAGTTGTAGACGGAGTGCAACGCTATGAAGCATATCACGGGTGTATTGATTACGTGTTCGAAGTAACGCGAGTGAACGTGGGTCCACATAGTTCAGTTGGTTGTGAGGATTTTGAGAGGGCCCAGAACTGCCGCTGACAGAGCGGAGTCAAATGCCCATCCCCTCCAATCTATCCACGACACTGACCATGCCTCAGTGTGTGTTTACGTACCATAGCCCGCCTCGCGTCCCGACAGTTTGACCAAGCGCTTGGCCGGACGGAGAAGATCCACGACCGGCTGACCTTCCCGATGGAGATGTACATGGACCGGTACCTGGAGATCAACAAGAACATCGTGACCGTGAAGCGCGCCGAGATCGCCCAGCTGCGGCAAACGCGCCACCAGCTGCAGCGGCGCCTGGACCAGTGCGTGAGCCCTGACCGCGGCGGGCCTCGTGCGGGACCGCCAGTAGAGAATGGGATAGCTTGTAATTGCTTGGTATTTCCTGGGAATCTCGCAGGCCTAGACAGTGTGGTGATGTCATGAAACGATTAGTTTCAGTAGTCCAATGTTGCTTCAGTGAGTGTGACATGCTATCCAGAGCGACCTTTGACCTGACATGGCATGACGTACCTGCAGCTGAACACGGCGTCGCCTTGGCTGCATTAGCCAATCCAACCCGACGCATTTCCCCCGTCCCTTCTGATGACCCCACCTCACCTGGCCTGACAAGGACCTAACCTGCGTGACCTGACCTGACCTCAGGTACCTGTCGTTCGGCGCCTCAGCGCCCCGTCTGCCTCTGTCCCGCCTGCTGCGCCACGCGCTGCAGTACGCGCGCGGCTCTGTGAGCGAGCCGCTGCTGGACGTGCAGGACGTGGAGATGGAGACGGCCACCTCCTCGTCGGTCACCAGGTCAGAGCGGGCCCCTCAGTGCCTCCTTATGTTAGCATAAACGTGGAGCTTCACATGCCACTTGGAACTTTGTGAGCTTTGAAACGGTGCACGTCTCCGTGTACCGGACACGGAGAGTGGAGCGTCGGGCGTCTGGTTGGCGGTGACTGACACTGCCGTCTGGTTGACGGTGACTGACACTGCCGTCTGGTTGACGGTGACTGACACAACCGTCTGGTTGGCGGTGACTGACACGTCTGTGGTGCCGCCAGCATGCTGGTCGACTCTCCGAGCAGCAGTCCGCGGCCGGCGCGGAGGGCCGCCAGCCAGCCCAGCATGCCCTCAACGGTAAGCGCAGCCAGTCCAGGACGCCGGGGCACCCACAACCAGCGGACTACCGCCGGCTGGGGCCGGGCGGCCGCTGGGAGAGGGTCTTGTGGTTACGTTTTGGAGATGGGTTGGACGAACTGCTCTCGGCGTGGGGAGGGTTGAAGACAGGCCAGGATGTCTGGGGCGGGAAGGGAGGAAACAGTTTGATGCCAGGTGGTGTATTAGCAGGGAAGGTGCGTTAAGGCGTTCATGCTGGAGATATATTTGCAAGGGCGGCAAAAGCCCATTGTGTTAAAGCTGGGAAAGGGTTATGTCCCCCCTCAGACCCCCAAACGGCGTCGCTCTAGTTAACAGTCGGCAGCTGGGGCGTAGTTTCGCGGAATCAGTTGGCATGGCTGAACAGTGAAAAATGACGCAACCTTCCCCCCAAATATCAAACAAGGAGAACAGAAAGCTGGTGTCCAGCGTGGTATACGCGCTGACGCGTACTGCCGACCTGTGCTGCAGTGTTCGCCGGCTGTGGCCGATGCGGTGCCGACGAGACTGGCGGCCTCCGAACAGGACGGGCCGCGTAGCTCCGAGTCGGCGCTGGGTCCGACGCACACCTCCGCTGAGGAGATGGCTGTGGTGCAGGTAGGTCAGCAGTACAGCAGGGGTCCGACCCACACCTCCGCCGAGGAGATGGCTGTGGTGCAGGTGGGTCAGCAGTACAGCAGGGGTCCGACTGACACCTCCGCCGAGGAGATGGCTGTGGTGCAGGTGGGTCAGCAGCACAGCAGGGGTCCGACCCACACCTCCGCCGAGGAGATGGCTGTAGTGCAGGTGGGTCAGCAGTACAGCAGGGGTCTGACCCACACCTCCGCCGAGGAGATGGCTGTGGTGCAGGTGGGTCAGCCGCACAGCAGGGGTCTGACCCACACCTCCGCCGAGGAGATGACTGTGGTGCAGGTGGGTCAGCAGTACAGCAGGGGTCTGACCCACACCTCCGCCGAGGAGATGACTGTGGTGCAGGTGGGTCAGCAGCACAGCAGGGGTCTGACCCACACCTCCGCCGAGGAGATGACTGTGGTGCAGGTGGGTCAGCAGTACAGCAGGGGTCCGACTCACAGCTCCGCCGAGGAGATGACTGTGGTGTAGGTGGGTCAGCAGCACAGCAGGGGTCCGACTCACACCTCCGCCGAGGAGATGGCTGTGGTGCAGGTGGGTCCGCAGTACAGCTAGGGTCCGACTCACAGCTCCGCCGAAGAGATGGCTGTGGTGTAGGTGGGTCAGCAGTACATCTGGGGTCTGACTCACACTTCCGCCGAGGAGATGACTGTGGTGCAGGTGGGTCCGCGGTACATCTGGGGTCTGACTCAAACCTCCTCCGAGGAGATGACTGTGGTGCAGGTGGGTCAGCAGCACAGGTGGGGTCCGACCCACACCTCCGCTGAGGAGATGACTGGTGCAGCGTTGTGCTGAGTTCTGTTGCGGGAGGCGTAGGCAGCCATCACCACTGTTGTTCCTCGGACGCCATCTACCGACGATGTGTTCTGCTGCGTCGTTGTAGTGGCGCACTTGGCAGCTGGTGGCTATGGCAGCAGCAGCCGTTACGCTGCCCTGACTTGATGTGCACGACAGATGAGGGATCAGAACGCTCTTCCCTCTCCATGCATTGTGTTGGCACTG